GTAAAATAACAGCTGAGTAAATAAATAAATAAATCTCAGGTATACGGATTCAACGCACTGGTGGATCACATTAGTGCGTTGAGTCCGTACACCTGAGATTTTACTTAACTAGATTGCATAACTACCAATTAAGAAAACCAAAAAACCACCAAAGATAAGCAATTAATTAACTTGCAGACTAAACAAGTAAACAAATCAACAAACGAAAAACAAGTCAAATTAAACCAACGGTAAACAAAAACAAATTAGCAACTGAGCTTCTCACACTTCCTCAGCGACAGGTTGCTAAATCGCTCTGATTGTTTGAATTCTCCTCAAATGCTCAACGTGAATAAACCAGCCAATTTGAATGAATTATGCAAAAAGCACGAAATTTAGACTGAAGTGCTTATTTGATGCCACTGAAAGGCGGAGTTGAGCTGAATTAAATGAACTTAATTATGTCGGTTGGTCGGTCGGCAATAAAATGGAGCAATCGACAAATTCAGTTAATGAGTGTAAATCTGTTTGCTTTGATATGATAAGATGTTGATTCGTTTCAGTGATAATTCAGCTTGTTGTAAGTGTATAATATTTCTTGTGATTTTAATTATTGTAATATGCGAAACGGTCAGTCGCTGTGCAGTGTTTGTTCGAAACTATTGAATAAATAAATAAATAAATAAATAACTTGTATATGAACATATAAATTTAATGTGCTTTGCACGTAACAAACAAATTTTGTCTTCTCAACGCAGAACAGCAACTCGTTAAGACGTTAATCAATCCCGTTGGTACGCAATATTGGATGCAAAGTGCATTCATTCATTCATATCAGTTACGTTACAATGCCTCACCTTACTTCTTTCACTTTTACACTAAATTCAGCAGTTATCTCCCTTTTACTGCCATTGTGAAACGACGTACTCAGTTAAGTACTACAAGCCAACTGTATTTGTTCAGGATACAGATCGACTCAGTGTAACTGCACGTATTCAGAGATGTTATTTCGAAGATATTTGAATAAACTGGGTTTATCAGTGTATGTACTGTTGATGATATTAAAAGGATATAACTGTGTCAATACAGTTGGATGTAATGAGATTGAGTGCGGACCTCGGGTATCCAAGTGCATGCTGCTAAAGGCTTGTAATTGTTCGATAACCAGAGAGAATATCCTGAATAATAGTTGTTCGTGTTGTAATGAGTGCATTCAGTGCTTGGATAAACAATACACGCAATGCTGCTCTTGCTTTGGTATGTTTTGTTTGTTTGTTTATTGATGCGTTCGTACATCTGTTTACATTTCAGTTGCATTTCAGGACTTTGTAATCCAGGAAAAGAAGCACCTCATATGAACAGTTATGTGGATAAATTCGATCAAGACGAGGAGGATTTGATCGTGTTCGACAAAGTTGCGACGTATGTCCTTCGTTTTCTCTTATTCATATATTGAAGTGTTCATCGTCGAATCATACCACCAACAATAGCGCTGTGCAATTCACATCATATTCCGAACATTTGTTGCTGATTCAATAAATTCATTCAATTTCAGCGTTAATAAACTTGGTACCACATATACATTTCCAGTTTTACAAGAACACAACGATATCAAGGGTATCGTCAATGGTTACATTTATATGATCATTACTATCTAGCAGTGAACAATTGCAATGTTGATTGTTGTTCTCTGATTAACCTGAATTCAAGTTCAGGTAGTAAAAATTGCAGGTGTAGAAATGAAAGAGTTTAGAGAGAGTAAAAGTGGCACTTTTTGCACAGTGGTTTACTTGGATAAATGCATTTCTCACGAGCAGTGCAGTCGACAGTGTTTGGTAAACGTTTAAGTGTTATTCTGAAAAAATTTTTTTAAAGAAAAACTTTTAAGATTTTAAGAAACTTTTAAGAAAGCGCCTTCACATTGTTCAACTATCCGATGGGTTAGGTTGGTTCTATTGTAATATTAGGTAGATGAAGGATTAAAACGTATCAGTGTGATGGACGCATTGAGGTGATATTGTTATGCATGCCGCTTGTATTCAATCCCCTATAATGAATAAAAATTGAATTCAAGATACTAGGTGCCTCAATGCTACGATGGTTTCATACGGGATGTTGCGAGTGTATTGGACACACGTGTCTACCGTATGGCTCGAATATAGCTCGTTGTAAGTACTGCACTGAATTCGACGAAGACACTCACTCTCAGCTTGCATTCAGACAGTCCGAATTATAATCTTTTGCTGGTGTTATTACTCTTATCATTGTTTGCCATTTAAATCTCAACTCATCGTTGCCATAACACATTTGCCATAAGGACATCATTACCTGTCTTAGTTCTACTTATCATTATAATATTAAGGGTACTACTCATTTATGAATCTCTCTGTCAGTGGTGTAACCAGGATTTTTTCCAAGAGAGGAGGGAGCGCATAATTTCCAGTCTAGTCCAAAAACGGATGAAAATTGACGCCTTTTTTGCGTTTATTTTTTCTTCCTTTCCACATTCTTCTCCCTTCTGCTCTTTTCCTTTTTTTCCTCGTCTTTTCCGTTTTCTCCGACTCCCCGAGGGGGTGGGATGCACTCAGCCCCCTTGGCTACGCCACTACCCTTTGTATATATTATCATTTTGTCGTTACTAACTTGTAATATTTTATTCGTGCTGAATTAAGTTCATACTAGATTTGTGATACGTATTTGTGATGGGATAAAGGTCATTTGTGTCGTGTGCGTTGTACAGCTGCGTTTGATGTAAAAAAATAAAGCAGTATGCCTTTGCAAGAGAATACGTGACCGGAGAATTTGCCTAAAAAGTTTTGCCTAACGACAGTTTGTCTAAAGACACATTGCCTAACGGACGAGTTTTTAATGGATATTTTGCCTAATAGGCAGAATATCCGGGTACCAAGAGAATATCGCTGTGATTTACAGGAGACGTATGCTTGACGGGACTGATAGTATTGTTGTGTTAGGTGACTGGGACTCGCAGGCATATGAGCATGAACAGTGAACTGTTAACCACATATACATCTTTGTGGTGAACGGTGCATGGGTGGAATTGAAAGTACTCAGCACTACAGATCCTTTTTTTTGCAGAAATCTTTCACCACTCTTTGTGAAATGATTAACTGTGACAAGATTAAAATTCAATTTTATTCAACGTTTTGAAGATATCCTTGAAAGTGGGTCGTTTCGATGGGTCTTCCTTCCAGCATTTATTTATAAGAGAAGTTATTCCTAGCGGAATATCCAACGGAATCTGCATTCGATACTTTGATCCATCCGTTAACTTTTCTCGAACTTGTGCGTTTGATAAACCTGTTTTATACGATGATCATCACAGCGATGGCGTTAATAACATCACTAAGCAATGATGTAAATACAACCTGGATAAGGCTCACTACCATCGGTGAATATTTCATAGAGTAACACTCCAAACGACCAAACATCGCTTTTACTTGTAAAATGTCGTCGAGTGATCACTTCGGGCGCTAACCATTTGGTTGGCAATACCAAATCCATTTCAGTTGTACTGTTATCATTAATTTGTTGGTATTTTATGGATAAGCCGAAATCTGAGATTTTCACCTGGAATATTTATCGTTTTATTGTAAGTACACGAAACGGATGGTGTGCGTAAGAGTGGATGACATGCTGTACTGCGAGCGATCTGTTGATCAATCGCATTGCTGGTTACAGTCTCAAAATCGCTCCTAATATATGTGTCTTAACTGCATTGAATTAACATCAATCAAGTATATGATGACGAACCGTAAGGTTATTTTCAGTCAAGAGACAATTCCTGGCTGCAATATCTCGATGAATGCATTTCATATCTTCTAAATACCGTAATCCAGCCGCTGATTCCTTCGAGAAGCGATACCGTATCGGAATACCCAAATGAGCACCTTGTTTTCGTAGATACTGTAAAAGAACTCTCACGAATTTATGTATTTGAACGATAATATGAGTTACTACTGTAAGTGATAACCTGTAATAAAGATCCTCCTCCACAAAACTCAAGAATTATCATCAACGGTTCCTTCTGACACGCGATTCCGATCATTTGCAGAACGTTCTCATGCGAATATTCACGCATTGTTCTCGCTTCCTGATAAAACACTAACAAT